CAGTTCCAGGGGAATCCGAAGCCCTCTTCTGACCTCTGCGGCATTGCACAATGTGGGTGCACTCACATACATGCAGGCAATACACTCGTACACATAAAATAAAAACTAATAAATAAAATACTAAAATTATATTTTAAAAATGTGAGTATATATACATACATGTTGAGGTCAAAGGCAGGGACTGAAATTAGATCTTTGAGTTTGGAAGCAGGAGCTTACCCATTAAGCCATCTCACCAACCTTCATAGAAGGTTAAGAGGGCCAATTGATTTTCTTCTTGTTAGGATTTCTGGCTGGGATGAGGGGGCCTGCTGTGCTGAAGGCAAGGTATCCAATCACGCCTGGAACTAGTGCCTTGAAGCCCACACCTTCCACTTAGAAGTTACACAAATTGCCTTGGCATGTCTTTGAACCTTAGTTTCTTTTCTGGTTAAATGTAGTTATAAAAGCCACTCTACAGTGTTTTCAGGGGAATGAGTTAATCTACAAAATTGTTTGGCATAGTTATTGTTAAGGTTCAGATAGCCCTGTCCCCTCACCAACGGGATCCCAAGGAGGTCTCATGCTCCTGAGAAAAGGGAACCTAGCTGATACCTTGACCTTTGAAGTCAAGAGAAGCAGACTTTTCTTCACTGTTTGGCCAACACAGCAGACCTCCCCTTTGATCTCTAAAGAGGACAGGTTTTAACAGTCCTGCTCTCCCACTACCCCCCAACTTAAAAAAAAAAAAATCTTCCCACCTTCTGCAGGAGGCAGAAGCCTCCCTTTTAAAAGACCCCAGCTCAAGACATTTTCCCTGCCCGTAAGGGAATCTGCCCCATGTGTTCCTTTACTAATAAACCATATTTTGATGGAGTTTTAGCTGTGCCTCTGTGCCTCATCATCCATTCACTCCTTCTCTGCCAACTTTTTACCTATCAGTTATACCCTGACACATAGTAGGCATGTGGTGAGAGTTAGCTACTCTGTGGGAATGGGAGGTGTTGAGCAGGGTCAGGCTTTCTGGATGTGTGTACCTGTGTGGCAAACATGTGACCTGTGAGCCACTTCCTCAGCCCCAGGGTCATTTTTTTTTTTTTTTTCCATTCAGGGTCTTTCTATAGCCCCAGCAGGCCTAGAACTCACTCCATATGTAGACCAGCCTGGCCTCCATCACACAGAGATCACCTGCCTCCTTCTCTGGAGGGCTAGGATTGAAGGTGTGCACCCAGCAGTTGGTCATGCTTTTGAAGAAAAGATAAACACAGGGCAATTGCCTCTTACACTGATCTACAGCCCTAGCCCAAGGGTCATGCAAAAGAACACAGCACCACCTTCTAGACTTTGCTCTCCAGATGTTCTACAACCCTGCCCTTGATTGCCTGAGGCCATAATCTTGTCTGGGACTTAACACTATTTTGCCCAAAGGTCTATCTGATTTGAAACAGATAATGCTCACAAAGTGCTTAGCAAAGACCAGGCACACACTAATTGCCTGATGCTTGTGGCTATTAAGGTAGAAAAGGAAAGTATCGCAGAAAAGAACAACAATTAAGTAAGTATCAGTCTGCTATCAACCTACTGTAAAGAAGGCAAATCTTTTGTCTGAGAACAGATTCTGATTGGGATAAAGAAGCCAGAGATCTCAGAACAGGAAAAGAGAGTCTGGGGAACTGAAGGGCCATTTGGGAATTTTTTTCCAGGTGCTAGGCTTGGAAGAGCTAAGCTTAAGTAACTGCATGTTACAAATTCACACAGCAGAGGGTTCCAAAGTGGGAGGGAGAAACTCCCTCCAGGTCTAGGGGGATCAGAGGCTTTCCTTTTAGTAAGGGATACTGTGGAGCCCCAGCCAGTCAGAGGCAGTGGGGGGTTGTGTCATCTTTCAGATCATTTTTTATCCTTCAGGGAGCATCAGGGCTCCCAGGGGTTGTCATGAATTAAGCATCCACTCCATGTAAAGCTTTAATTCAAAAAAAGAAAAAGAAAAAGCAAGCAGGACATGGCGGCAGATGCTGGTAAGCCCAGTACTAAGAAACAAGATCAGGAGTCCAAGGTCATTCACAGCCACATAGGGGATGAGGCCAGCCTGAACTACATGAGACCCTCTCTCAAAAAATAAGCAAGCAGGGGCTGGAGTGATGGCTTATCGGTTAAGAGCACTGACTGCTCTTGCAGAGGACCCAGGTTCAAATCCCAGCACCCATATGACACTTAACCATGTTAGGTGACTGCAGTTCCAGGGGATTCCAACACCTTCTTCTGATCTCCGTGGGCATTGCATGACACAGGTGCACTTACACACATTCAGGCAATACAGCCATACACTAAAATGATAAATAAAAAAACAAGCAGGAGCTGGAGAGATGGCTGAGTGGTTTAAAGTTCACACTGCTCTTTGTAAAAGACCCAGGGTAGGTGCTCAGCACCTACATGGCAGTTCACAACAGTCTGTAACTCCAGTTCTAGGGGCTCCAACACTCTTCTGGTGTCTGACTGCACACACACGGTGCACATACATACATGCAGGCAAAACACTCATACGCATAAAAATGAAATAGGACACTAATCTTTTGTGTGTTCATGTGTGTGCAGGTGCACATGTGTGGAAACTAGACAAACTCAGGCGCTGTCCACTTTTTTTTTAAAGACAGGGTCTCTCACTGGCCTGAAACTCACCAACTGAGTTGAGGGTGGCTGGCCAGGGAGCCCCAAGGATCTGCTAGATCTCCACATTCCCAGTCCTGGGATTGTAAGCATACACCATCATAGAAGGCTTTTTCACATGGGTTCTGGGGACTGAACCTAGGTCCTTGTAGTTTGTGAGGGAGCTCTTTATGACTGAGCCATGTCCTCAGGATACTAATTTTGCCTCTGTCCACTACACTGTCCATGTGACCTTGTCAAAGTCTCCTGTCAGTTTGGGCCTCAAATTTCACAGTTCTTTGGAAGTAGGATGGTAACCGAGTCACTTTGGGCTTTAAATCCTTCTTTTCTTTCCTTTTCTCTCCCCCTCCCCCTCCTCCTCATCTCTTCTTCTTCTTCTTTTTTTTATTTGAAATAGGTCTTCCTGTAGCCCCAAATGGCCTGGAGTAGAGCTCAGCCTGCCTCTGCCTCCCTAGTACAGGCATTAAAGACATGCATTATCACACCCGGCTGGTTTCAAATTCATCTGTAAAATGAGTACTACCTATTTCTTGGGGCTGCAGGAGTTAATGAAGATGAAATACTCTGAATCTGGATGGTTCTGAGACGTCTCTGACGCCTTGTCACTTAATGTTACAGTGTACTTAGGGACAAGGTTTCTAGTGGGTTGGGGTGTGCAAGGTGTAGATGGGGGTGGAAGGAAGGGTCCTAAGCCACAAGTGTCATCCCAGCAAAGGGATGGACTATAGGTTGTGGCCAAAGCGCCCTCCTCCAGCCTTCGGGAAGGAAGGCCTTGAGAACACATCCACCCCACAGCCCCCTGGATCAGGGTTGCGGATTCGGGCGGGTCAGTTTGTATCTCTTCCCAATTTGGCGAGAAGGCAACGTGGAATTCAGATTCTGGATTCGCTCCATCCCTGCCTGGCTGCATGACCTTGGCGTAGTCACTTTTCTTCTCCCAGGCCTTCTCTGGGGCTCCACGTTCCATTTCCCACTCGGAGCTTCAGAGGACGACGCGTCGACACAATGCCCGCGACACCCGTCTTCCGAGCCCGGCCTGTTAAGTTAATCAGTCCCCACAGGCAGGCGGGTTCTCACTCGCCCGGGAGCGCTCAGGTTTTAGCGGTTTCCCCGCAGCAACTCCAGTTCTCGCTCCGCCACAGCTTCGCGCCTGCAGCCAGGTCTCTGCGGACCAACCGCGGGCTCCGGGCCGTTACCTTTGTTCTCCGAGGCTGGGCCGAAAGGGAGGGCCGCCTCCTACCAGACCTCCGTCTCGACTCCCCCCGCCCCCAGGCCTCTCCCCAGGCCTCAGCAGCCCGGGGCTGGCCGATCTTCCCTGACGAAGCCCGTCAGCCCCAGCGGCGCTCCCGAACGGCGTCCGAAGATACTCCCGAGCGCTGCCGAAGAATCCCGAGCGCTCGCGGTCTCCGGAAAGAGTCGAAGGAGCCTCCTACCCTCGGCTCCGCCGAGCCGTTCCGAAAAGGTCCGAAAACCTCCGAACGGCCGTCCTGCCGGACTGCTGGAGGCGGCCGCAGCGCCATGTTGGATGCTCTGCTCGTTGAGGGAAGAAAATCCGTCCGCATCGCCTGAGCCCCGCGACCGAGAAGGGCGCCGCTTCCCCCGGGGAGGGGGATCACGACCCCCCGCCGCCGGCCCATGAGGATATTGCCGTGAAAGGTCCGGTTTCTCCGCCTCCTGCCCCCGCCGGGTCCGGCCCCCCCCCTGGGGTCGCGTTGTCACGGAGACCGGCAGCCGGTGGTGCTGGCCCGCGGGGCGGCTGCTGCTGCCGGCGGCGGCGGCGGCGGCGGCGGCCGAGGGCGTGTGTGACCGGTCCCGGCCCCCTCCTTCTCCTCCTCCCAGCCTCCCCTCGGCCCCCCGCTCCCGCCGCCTCCCCGGGTCTGTCCCCATCCCGCCCCTGTGCTGCCCCCGGCCCCTGCACCCCGGCGCGCCGGGTCCCGCTCTGGGGGGGTTGGTGGCTTCGCTTTGCCATGAGTTTACCGCAGAAACCGGCTCTGAAATCAGGCTCAGCGGCTGCAGCAGGACCCG